CTAGTTGGAGGTCAATCGAGGTCAGAGGGCACAGTAGAGGTCTTCCATTCAGGACATTGGGGCTCCATATGTGATGACCAGTGGGATGACCAGGATGCGGAGGTCGTGTGCCGACAGCTGGGATTCAGGTGAAGGGGTCACATAAACAAACTTTTTTTTGCTTAATAAAGTTAATTTGTTAAAAAAAGACAGAACTAAAAAGTATAGAGCTGAGCTGTGATAATGTAGGAGGGGAGATTTCTCTCTCTCTCTCCCTGTCTGTCTCCGCAGTATGAGAAGTATTCTTTCCATTCAGACACACAGAGAAAAGAGCGAGCAGTTAAGAACATCTGGAGGTCAGACTGTGAATCAGGCTCATTGTTCCAGTTTGAATTCTAGTACAGCACAGATATGCATATTTATCAACTATAAAATGCTGTCCCACAGGCATTTCTGTGTGTTTCCATTTTATACATGTGCATGGGTGTTTAAGTCAAGCAACTGTTTCATTATATTTAATCATATTTTTTTTTCAGTCTAATTTAATTATTTTAACTACTTTTTTGAAGTAAAACAGAGCCCCGTATAGAATTCTCTAAGTGGGTCACTACATGTGTTTTATATCAGTTTTGCTGGAAAACAAGCCTCCTTCTCCTGTGCTGTGTCTTCCCTTTGTAGTGGTCTAGCCAGGGCCTGGAGCCAGGCACATTTTGGGAAGGGTTCAGGCCGTGTGTGGCTGGACGAGGTGCGTTGCACTGGCAATGAGCTCACATTGGAGCAGTGTCCAAAAAGTGCTTGGGGTGAACACAACTGTCTGCACTCCGAAGATGCAGGAGTATCCTGTAACAGTCTCACAGGTCGGCCAACACATCTCAACACTCACTTCTCATATCCACGTAAACCTGCGTCTGAAAGCTTACAGGAAATGCTCCTGTGCATACAGTACAATGTAGTGGCCAGGCCTGGAGATGATGTAGAGCTGAACCATCGATCAGTCTGAGCTCACTGTGGGACACAATCCAGTTTATCACCACACAAAGATTCAAATCATCTGACTAATGTCAGAGGGCAGTTTCAGACTCCAGTTATTGAAAAGGAGACCCAGGTCTGGTCACTCCTGTCAGGATGAATCACACCATTTCAAATACTATGCATATTGCATATTTTACAGACCTGCAGATAGTGGGGGACAAATGGGGGAGATTTAATATTATCTTCTCCCGGGCCCAGGCAAGATTGTCATACACATTTATAATAAAAGAAATTGAATAGAAAAAAAAAAAGTTTACCAAACGTTGTGTGTGTCTCTCTTCTCTAGATGGTACTGCCCGGTTAGCAGGTGGTACAGGGAGCAACGAAGGCCGTTTGGAAGTCTTTTACCATGGTCAGTGGGGAACAGTGTGTGACGATGGTTGGACAGACTATAATACCCAAGTAGTGTGCAGACAACTTGGTTACAGGTAACAGGGTGTACTCATTCTACCAGACCAGGACGTTCTGTACACATAAACCAATCGACATCTAAACGCAGGAGTTCATTTGTATCTTGCAGGTTGGGGGAAACTCTTCCTTCTGAAGGATTAGACATCACACCAGTCCCACGCTTTGGGGTCGGGTCGGGTCCAATTCTTTTGGATGATGTGAGCTGCACAGGAAAGGAGCCGAGCCTGCTGCTCTGCAAGAAGAGGGAGTGGCTCCGTCACGATTGTACACACCATGAGGACGTTAACATGGCATGCAGCGCAGAACGCAGTGGAGAGACTCTTCCCACTAGTAAGAAAAAAATCACACAAAAAAATGACACCAAAGTGTAAAGTTACAGATAGGACTCTTTGATTACATTACTGAGTTATTAAGGTGAAATGTATTTTATTTGAATAGCGTGGATAAATACATTCTCTGTGTCTGTGTTGAAGGGTTTGATGTGAGTTTAAAGTGCAGTTCATGTCGTGCTAGTTGATCCATTAACACTCTTGGAAATGTGTTTTCCATATGGTGCTGGAGATTCCAGGTTAGAAGTCAGTAGGTTCACATGTCGGTGTTTTTTCAAGGGAGTTTTTGAAACAGGTGTTCACCTTACTGAAAAACAACTGCGAATTTGTTGATCAAAATGTTATTTACTCAACAGCGTCGTATACATTTGAATTTGTTGATCAAAATGTTATTTACTGGGTATTTTCTCAATTGAGGACATGATTACATTACTGACTTTCATACTACACTCAGAGTATCTGTTGCACATAAGTACCTACTGTATGTCACTCACCCATGCTAACACAGTAATCAACATCATAATCAAGGACATAAAAACATCAAAAGTCTGACTGACACCTAATGAAGGGAAAAAAAAAAAACAAAAAAAACAACAACAACACTGGGAAAAGAAAAGTCAGGTAGCACAAAAACCAAACATTTTGTTGGCTTCTTTGTGTGTGTGTGTGTGTGTGTCTAACCCTGTTTGTTGTGGCTGACTAAGTTACTGCTCTCTCAACAGAGGATTAGAGGATTAGCTGCTTTGGCCACTTTGAAATGAAGGGACCTTAACGCTGTTGCCTGGTGAGGCAACAGCGTTCGTTTGTGTGTGTGTGTGTGTGTGTGTGTGTGTGTAACAAGGGGATGAAGTTAAACTCTTTTTAAACAGTGGAAACAGAGTAAAGAAGTAAACACTCCCACAATTAACGTATCCCAGTCTCCGCCGCTCCTACAGCTACTGTGTTCACACCATTTGATATTCCACAGCCTCCTGCTTGACTTTATATAACAGTGTCATAATGTGGGTCTCGAAAAACATCTCTCCGTCTATCTTGGTCTAGGCCTGTTAAAGCGAGTTGGTCCAAAAACCAAATGTAATGCTGATTGAGCTGACACTCAGAGGAGTTAACTGATCCACAGACGTCCACATGTGGAGAAGCCATTAGTATGAACTGCACTGATATTAATGTGTGTGTTTGTGTATGTATGTCTGTGTGTGTGTGTGTGTGTGCTGCCTAGTTTAATGTTTGCCTGTGTGGGTATCAAATGATGATAAACTGTTTACACCAAAGACTCAGCCATGCACTCACAATTTCCACTCAAGGGAACTCAAGGGACTGGACCAATAAAAAACAGCATTCCAGCAACTAACTATGGAGAGATTTCAAGAACTGAGACTTCTGGGTAATGTGTGTGTGTGTTCTTCAGGTGTGCCAGTGAGGCTTGTGGGAGGAGAGACCCCGAGGGAAGGCCGGGTGGAATTGTATCTGTCTGGTCAGTGGGGGACCGTGTGCGATGATGGATGGACTGACCGCGATGCTGAGGTGGTGTGCCGGCAGTTGGGTTACAGGTGTGTGTATGTGATCGATGTGATACCAGTTTTCACTTTGACAGATTCCTGGATCAGGAGCTTGTCCATAACTACTGTATAATGGAGTTGGGCTGAGAGTCTACTGAGTGTCTGAAGCTTTTTGATCAATATCTTGGAAGAGTTAAAAAGGTCTAATCGATGTTGCCAGGAAGTAAGCAAACTTATTTAAATGACTTCATTCAAAAGTCCAATGTAATAATATTACTGTAATGGATGGGCCCCGGATATAAAGTCTGTCATCAAGCCTTCCTTCTACCTTCCTCCCTTCTTACTCGTTTTTTAAGAAGTCAGGATGATGGAAATCGTTTGATCACAATTCATTCACTTTAAGGTGGATCCAGATCCAGCCGACTGTTAACTCAGTCAGTGTTTTTCACCTGCCTTTTCTCGGCCTGTCACCATTTTATCTTAGTTTCCACTCTTCTCAGGTAACACATCGTCACACACATCTTGTAAATGACTCTCCATCATTATCAGTGTGTTTTGAATAGAGTTGAAATATTGAATTTGTTCATGCTTACAGTACCTAAATTGACTGTGTTTTTGAGACTGCGTGCACTGCCACATATCTGTGTGCTTTTTTTTTTTTTTAGCTCTGTCCCTTTACAGCTAAGCTAAACAAAAAGCATTTTGTGACAGATGTGTCCAAGTAAAGAAATAAGACTTCATGCAGTCTGTGTCCCATTAGTCTGTCCTCCGGGACATTCTCTCGTCTTCCATAACAATCTCTATGTGATAGCAGGGGTCAAGTGAAAGCATAATTAAATGTTCTTCTTTATCATCTTTCGTCAGTCAGGAATATTTACCCCATGCAGTGACTCAGTTATTTATGACATCTGTTTGAAGACGATCCACATCTGGACAGCATAAGAATGCAGAAAAAAGTGTGAAAGTCTGGGAAGCGTGTAAAAGCCATGTCAGTACCGTTGTTCCGTCTTGTACGTTGGGCGTGGTGAAAGGTCACCGCATACACAGCAGCCCCCCCCTTGAGGTGTACAGAGTGGTGTGATAATGGGGTTATGTCAACACATACACATTCAATTAAAGGAGTCACATAATAAAAGCGCCCTCTCCGACACGGTCTGCAGGGTCATAGCTGAAACAAATTAGCCGTACATAATTATCCATGTTGTCAGGCTAACCCAGGCGGGGCTTCAGATACACAGTCACAGAGATGGACACTGTGTCATATACTGTCAATAATAATAATAATAATGTCAATGAAAATTCAAGGTATTTTAAAAATATATTTTTGTATCCTTCTATAGTGTATATTATAACATTTGGTTTCTCCTTTGTACGTTTGTAGTCACACATGTATTTGCAGAAAAGACACAAACTGCTACCTGTGTCCCTGTGTCTTCTTCACACATGTATTTGCAGAAAACTGCTACCTGTGTCCCTGTGTCTTCTTCAGTGGTTTGGCAAAGGCTCGTGTGATGGCGTATTTCGGTGAGGGCACGGGACCCATCCACGTGGACAACGTGAAGTGCAGCGGCGAGGAGCGTTCCATAGCCGACTGCATCAAACAGGCTCCCGGCACACATAACTGTCGCCACAGTGAGGACGCCGGGGTCATCTGTGACTACGGAGAACCTCAGCCCAGCTATAAAGAAGTCAAAGGTCAGTCGGTTGGGATTGTTTTCTTTTGTTACTCATAAAATAGGTGGAGCTTTTACAACTTACTGGGAGCCCCCAAAGAAGGTCAACGTGTTAAGCAAAGCAGAAAGTAATGTGTGTGTTATTACCTCACTCAGCCATCTGCTTCCAGCACATGTGCTATTATTATTATTATTTCGCTCAGTTAAAGATATGCTCCTCAACCCTGTGCATGGGTTTTATTTCTTTAAAAAAACAGAATAATCTCTACTTTTTCTCTTCTCAATCACTGCGTGTCTTAGCAGATGTGCTGTTATGGTTCTGCTCTGCAGCCGTCTAACTATTTAATGAGACCAACATCTGAGCCTTAATATATGGTTTAACAATCGTCACCCTGCACTGACTCTCACATCTACGCCCAATGGTTTCCCTTGTGCCTCTGTCAGATCCTGTCAACTCAATTTGTGGTCTGCGGCTCGTGCACACTCGCCAGCGCCGGATCATAGGAGGAGAGAACTCTCTGAGGTAGGCTGAGAGGGACGTCGGGGGATAATAACAGCAAAGAGCAAGACTGCCAAACACATAGAAAGAGGAAAGAATTTTCAAGGTTTAGATGAGGAAACTCCACGCAAAGAGAGATAAAAAATTTTGTGCAAATCTCAAAAATATTTTCCATAAGCCTGCATTTAAACTCTACTCCCACTGGGATTATTACTATGATCAGAATGATTTTCTTGTAAATTTTCCGTCTGTTTGCATTACTCCAGGTGGAGTTAGAAGCAGCTCCCTCATGTGTCTGTAGTAACAGTAAAGGAGTCAAACAAGTTAAACGAAAATAATTATCCCACCATGAGGAAATTCATGGTGTGTGTCTTTGCAGCCCACATAGGCTGCCACACAACACAGGGGGCGCCATTGAAAATGTGGTTCCTCTGGTGCTCGAACCCTGGACATTCTGTGCATAAGGCAGATGTGACAACCGCTACACTATGGAACGACTAAATTAGTATTAAAAATAGGATGTGATAAGAGTTAGAGTAATGATTAATTAATAATAGTTCATTAATACGTGTATATTTGTAAATTTATTATTAGTTCATTAATACGTGTATATTTGTAATAGTTACATTTAGAATAAAGGGCTAGGACAGTGTTTTTTGTGTGTGTTTTTGCCTCTGGATGTTTTTATGTCTGTCTATAAATGTATCTCACACAGGGGGGGTTGGCCATGGCAGGCCGCCATTCGTTTACGAGGCTCCCGAGGTGATGGGAGGTTGGTGTGTGGGGCAACGCTCATTGACTCCTGCTGGGTGCTCACCTCGGCCCACTGTTTTAAAAGGTCAAACAGACACCGACACAAACATATCCCTATATTAAATGGTCAATTTATATTTAACTAGCACATCAGGTCATTTACCTTCTGGGAATACTCAGGCCTGACAGTCAAACGTCCTGAGAACTGCAGCAGCGATCAGTGGTGGCAGTGAGTCAGACGGAGCTGCTCTATCTCAGCCACATCTGGTCTGGGGGGCCTCAACATGGCGTCACCTTCTCAAAATCCATCACCTAATGCATACAAGGGAGAGGACAGACTTTAGCAGAAAGTCAAACTATTATGACAGAGGGAGAGATTTAGAATATTTTTGCAGCACAGAAAAAGCACTGAAACTTAAAACCTTGGTGACATCATTGCATCTGCATTTAACATTTACACGCTTTAGGCAAGGTCGTCCGATGGAAGTTGAATACTTCTGAGCATTTCAGCAATTACTAGTTTCTGTGCTTGAGTTTTGTAGATATGTGTACGTGCAGCAAGCTTCAATGGGAAAACTATTCACAATATTCTTTCCATTCCCCGTTTAAAAACAACACAAAAAAAAACATCACCAGGCTTCCCAAACTTTACAGCCTATACTGTTACCTCAGTGATGTCAAGTCTCCTCTCTAAAGTGACACAACAGAGGCACAGAACTGTGCTGCAACTTGAACCGGCTCCAAATGAGGCTGACGTCGTTAAAGCAGACTTTGAACCATGATCACAGCCTGATAGAAACTTTACTTTGACTGTCATGTGCTTCAGCCAGTTCCTCCCTGGTAGTCAACGTCATCACTTTCACCTGGTCAACCAGCTACAGCTACATAGACCCACTGACTTCAGTCTTTGTCCCTCCTTGGTGTTGTTCTTTCTGCCGTACCATCAGGTTCACGGATACAGAAATACTGAAGAAATGACTTGGGTTCAAAGTTTGTAATATTTTCTAATTTATTTACTGAAAGAAAAGCCAAGTTTACACACAAGTAAAAGGTAAAACTAAAGGCAAAAATAATTGAACATACATGTTTTTGTTCAGTAAATGTCACATTGTATGACCTGCTCCACCTGTTTGGCCACATTCACTCTATCACACTGAACATGCTTCAAGACACTAGCTGAACCTTTAAAAGCTTGATTTGTTTTGAGGAGGGGTGAGACCTAAATGGGGAAGTCCAACTTTGTGGTGTCACCTGTCATATGCCAAACCAAAAATAGACACAGGCGGCGAGAAGAAACAGCCATTACGTAGCCGTGATTGTAAGATAATCTTCCACAAAAACATCCGCCGTCAGACGCCATACCTGTACAAGTCAGTGCTGACTGATGACTTAATCACCGTCAAATCATATCATTCTAGCAGTGTGCCGATAACTACCGGAACAAATCATATTCCCGTGTGTATGTTCAATGTATATCTTTAGCTATTCTACTGTCTGCCAGTGCATTGCCAGGAAATATTTGCTATTTCCAGATCAGAAGTTCGTTCCAATAACATTCTGTCAGATGTAACTGGACACACGGATTGGCTCAGGGTCACAGCTTTCTGTCACTCATCTCTTCTCACCTTCTTCCACTTTAGTCTTTTTTTTTGTCACTGGATTATTCCTGTCCTGATTTTCTTTTATTAAACATACCATTGGTATGATTCAGGTAAATTTAGAAACACACAGAGACGCCCTGGGAGATCGGTGAGCAGGCCTTCAGTTTGAATCAGCGCAGACTGTGTACGGAAACTTCATTTATAAAAGCTATAAAAGCTTTGCTGGATTAGAAACAAGAGAGAAGAGTAGAGTCCTTATAGCCTACTATATGCTGACGACTACTAATTGTTACCTGGCATCAGTGTCTCGTCTGTAATATTGTATATGTTGTTTCTCTGTCTGTGTTAATTTACCGTTCAACAAAACCCAGAGGGAAACACCTGAAGTTCCAAATACTTAAAAAATACTTTTTTCCCTTCAGTCAGATGAATTCTGTGTTTTTAGTGTAACTTGTTTGTACTGGTCTGACTGTAAACTGAGATAAACTCAGCTGCTGCTGCTTACAGTTTTATTGCTCATTTCAGCAGAGGGGATTGCTCCAACACACACACACACACGTACACACACCCTTCTTCTACGAATGCTTGACATGAGTCATCTCTTGATTCCTCTCTGCAGATATGGAAACAGCACCAAGCAGTACAAAGTCAGAGTAGGAGACTACCACTCCCTCGTCCCCGAGGAATATGAAGCAGAGTACGGCGTGGACCAAATTGCCTCCCATCCAAACTACCACCATCAAAGTAATGATAATGACCTGGCCCTGGTCCGTCTGTCGCCGGGAGCCGTGGACCAGCTGCCAGGAGAATGCGTGTCATTCAGCCGTCAGGTCCTTCCCGCCTGTCTGCCTGCTAGAAAAGAGAGAGTTCTCAAAGAAGCCAGTAACTGTCACATCACCGGCTGGGGTGACACAGGTGAGGACATGTTGTAACGAGAGGTCTGGGTAAGGAAATGAAAAGGGCCCAAAGACAGTGACACAACTAAATGTGGTCAAATTACAAATTTGACAATATGGATTAAAAACATTTCTGGATAAACAAGGCAATAAATATTATTGACATGAACAAGTAAAACAGGAAGAACTTGAAAAACAAGCCCCAAGAAGAATGTACTCCACAGGGAACTGTGTGTCTGTCAATGTGTGTGTCTGTGTGTGTTTTTGATTGTTTAGGTTACTTTACACAAAAGGCCACATGCTGAGAAACTGATGATTTTTAACACATAAATGTATTACGTAGCACTAACACGTCACATGACAAAAACGTTTTGAATGAACTCTGTGGTTGAATGTTCTGTTCTTGTCGCTCATCGTACCACAGTAATCCAATGAGTCTGTCATTAAAATATTATTGAAGTGTTTGAACACACACATCTGTCAGTGATGTTAATGCTTATGTCAAAATGCCAAGTCTGAGCATCTGTGGCATTAATATGTCTGTGAGTGTGGGTAAGGGTTTGTCTGATTCCTCCTAAAGACTGTTCATGGTTGGTCAACTACAGCTTCTGGTTGAATATAAATGCACTTTATAAATCTGCGTGTGAATTTGACTATACAAATGTAATTGTTTGTTTGTTTAATCAGAAACGTTGTGCTCTCACGTCTTCACCTCCCTCAGGCCGGTCGTACTCCAAGACTCTCCAGCAGGCCCCGCTCTCTATACTCCCTCGCCGTTACTGCCAGCAGTACTTCGAAGGCGCCTTCACCAGTCGAATGCTCTGCGCCGGCAGCGTACAGTCAGAGAGGCGTGTGGACAGTTGTCGTGGCGACAGTGGAGGACCGCTGGTGTGCGAGCGTCCAGGAGGGGGCTGGGTGGTTTACGGTATCACGTCCTGGGGTCATGCGTGCCGAACACAGCGGTCCCCTGGTGTCTACACCAGAGTGTCGGCCTTCAGCTCGTGGATACAGAAGGTGGTCAGAGGTGCTGGGAGGAAGCAGTGGAAGAGAGATATCAAATGACCGACTGTGGGAAAGGGTCGCAAAACAGCTGACAAAACATTAATGTCGGATCCTGATAATGATGTTATTATTAATGTTGGAACTGATTATTTAGTCTTTTCACACTATGTAAAAAAAGGAATAATAAGCACTTGTTTTCATTTTTTTAACTCATGGGCTGCAGGATTTTTGAACAGTATTAAACCTCATTTTCAGAATGTACTTTAATTTATGCATACTTTTTTTTATTTTACACGTTTTTAAACTGTTTTTGTCATCACATTTTACTGTAATTTATAAACTGTATCAGCACAAATGTTCAAAGGGACCACGTACCTACAGTATATAAGCACGCCTTCATGCATTCACAGGTATGAATTTGCAGACTTGCACACTAAACCTCAACAGTACTTACTGCATGATACTCGCCCGTGTTCATTTTGAAATCATGTCATTTTATAGTATGCATGTCTGATTGGGTGACGTTTCCTACGCGTGCTTTTGTTGTCATTTTGTCCAATTAGCAAATTGCTGGTCGTAGTATTCACTCAGGCATTTCTGACTTAAACCTAGCCAGTATTTATTAACTTCTCGGTGCTGCTTGATGTTTGCATGAAAGGTAAAGAACATACCTGTAATTCAAAGTGTAAAACGGTGTTGCTTTGTGACAATTTTGTTTTCCTGACACTGTGATATTTTTTCTTTTTCTCTGATTACACTTAAGGAAGACAATCTAGAACACTTGAAAACCAAAAAAGACACAAACTGTTTACTGGTGTGATGTTTACTGAATATGTTATGACTTGATATTGTACATTTCTCCATAAACTACGTTTTTGTAACAACAACTGCTGAATTTTGTTATTTGATTGCAAACATCAAACACACATGTATTTACACTTGTCTTTCTGTCATTCTCACAAACATTTGTAGTTTTCTTTTAAGCTGGTTGAAGAACAGAGTTCCTTTAGGTTTTATTTCATTCACTACAAACTGTGAGAGTGAGCACAGACTTGTTGAATAATGTACACACACATTCACTCACACACACATACTTGCTGCTATGTCACAACGTTTGCGGCTTAGCGGCCATTTTATGTTCTCCTTTTCATCTGATTTAGAAAAAGTAACCTTTGGGTAAACTTTAATATTTAAAAATAATACAAAAATTGAAAAAATAGAATAAAACATTTCACTGATAATCATTTTTTTAATTTGATTGTCATTTATAAATACCGACACTTAACTCACAACTACTCGTTGTCGAAACCCAAAATTAGTTTAATCTTGACGATTTGTGTATTACAGTTTTATGCAGTTTAAGGGAAATCGGCTGGTTGATTTCGTGAAATAACCTCTCGTCTGTAATATTGTATATGTTGTTTCTCTGTCTGTGTTAATTTACCGTTCAACAAAACCCAGAGGGAAACACCTGAAGTTCCAAATACTTAAAAAATACTTTTTTCCCTTCAGTCAGATGAATTCTGTGTTTTTAGTGTAACTTGTTTGTACTGGTCTGACTGTAAACTGAGATAAACTCAGCTGCTGCTGCTTACAGTTTTATTGCTCATTTCAGCAGAGGGGATTGCTCCAACACACACACACACACGTACACACACCCTTCTTCTACGAATGCTTGACATGAGTCATCTCTTGATTCCTCTCTGCAGATATGGAAACAGCACCAAGCAGTACAAAGTCAGAGTAGGAGACTACCACTCCCTCGTCCCCGAGGAATATGAAGCAGAGTACGGCGTGGACCAAATTGTCTTCCATCCAAACTACCACCATCAAAGCAATGATAATGACCTGGCCCTGGTCCGTCTGTCGCCGGGAGCCGTGGACCAGCTGCCAGGAGAATGCGTGTCATTCAGCCGTCAGGTCCTTCCCGCCTGTCTGCCTGCTAGAAAAGAGAGAGTTCTCAAAGAAGCCAGTAACTGTCACATCACCGGCTGGGGTGACACAGGTGAGGACATGTTGTAACGAGAGGTCTGGGTAAGGAAATGAAAAGGGCCCAAAGACAGTGACACAACTAAATGTGGTCAAATTACAAATTTGACAATATGGATTAAAAACATTTCTGGATAAACAAGGCAATAAATATTATTGACATGAACAAGTAAAACAGGAAGAACTTGAAAAACAAGCCCCAAGAAGAATGTACTCCACAGGGAACTGTGTGTCTGTCAATGTGTGTGTCTGTGTGTGTTTTTGATTGTTTAGGTTACTTTACACAAAAGGCCACATGCTGAGAAACTGATGATTTTTAACACATAAATGTATTACGTAGCACTAACACGTCACATGACAAAAACGTTTTGAATGAACTCTGTGGTTGAATGTTCTGTTCTTGTCGCTCATCGTACCACAGTAATCCAATGAGTCTGTCATTAAAATATTATTGAAGTGTTTGAACACACACATCTGTCAGTGATGTTAATGCTTATGTCAAAATGCCAAGTCTGAGCATCTGTGGCATTAATATGTCTGTGAGTGTGGGTAAGGGTTTGTCTGATTCCTCCTAAAGACTGTTCATGGTTGGTCAACTACAGCTTCTGGTTGAATATAAATGCACTTTATAAATCTGCGTGTGAATTTGACTATACAAATGTAATTGTTTGTTTGTTTAATCAGAAACGTTGTGCTCTCACGTCTTCACCTCCCTCAGGCCGGTCGTACTCCAAGACTCTCCAGCAGGCCCCGCTCTCTATACTCCCTCGCCGTTACTGCCAGCAGTACTTCGAAGGCGCCTTCACCAGTCGAATGCTCTGCGCCGGCAGCGTACAGTCAGAGAGGCGTGTGGACAGTTGTCGTGGCGACAGTGGAGGACCGCTGGTGTGCGAGCGTCCAGGAGGGGGCTGGGTGGTTTACGGTATCACGTCCTGGGGTCATGCGTGCCGAACACAGCGGTCCCCTGGTGTCTACACCAGAGTGTCGGCCTTCAGCTCGTGGATACAGAAGGTGGTCAGAGGTGCTGGGAGGAAGCAGTGGAAGAGAGATATCAAATGACCGACTGTGGGAAAGGGTCGCAAAACAGCTGACAAAACATTAATGTCGGATCCTGATAATGATGTTATTATTAATGTTGGAACTGATTATTTAGTCTTTTCACACTATGTAAAAAAAGGAATAATAAGCACTTGTTTTCATTTTTTTAACTCATGGGCTGCAGGATTTTTGAACAGTATTAAACCTCATTTTCAGAATGTACTTTAATTTATGCATACTTTTTTTTATTTTACACGTTTTTAAACTGTTTTTGTCATCACATTTTACTGTAATTTATAAACTGTATCAGCACAAATGTTCAAAGGGACCACGTACCTACAGTATATAAGCACGCCTTCATGCATTCACAGGTATGAATTTGCAGACTTGCACACTAAACCTCAACAGTACTTACTGCATGATACTCGCCCGTGTTCATTTTGAAATCATGTCATTTTATAGTATGCATGTCTGATTGGGTGACGTTTCCTACGCGTGCTTTTGTTGTCATTTTGTCCAATTAGCAAATTGCTGGTCGTAGTATTCACTCAGGCATTTCTGACTTAAACCTAGCCAGTATTTATTAACTTCTCGGTGCTGCTTGATGTTTGCATGAAAGGTAAAGAACATACCTGTAATTCAAAGTGTAAAACGGTGTTGCTTTGTGACAATTTTGTTTTCCTGACACTGTGATATTTTTTCTTTTTCTCTGATTACACTTAAGGAAGACAATCTAGAACACTTGAAAACCAAAAAAGACACAAACTGTTTACTGGTGTGATGTTTACTGAATATGTTATGACTTGATATTGTACATTTCTCCATAAACTACGTTTTTGTAACAACAACTGCTGAATTTTGTTATTTGATTGCAAACATCAAACACACATGTATTTACACTTGTCTTTCTGTCATTCTCACAAACATTTGTAGTTTTCTTTTAAGCTGGTTGAAGAACAGAGTTCCTTTAGGTTTTATTTCATTCACTACAAACTGTGAGAGTGAGCACAGACTTGTTGAATAATGTACACACACATTCACTCACACACACATACTTGCTGCTATGTCACAACGTTTGCGGCTTAGCGGCCATTTTATGTTCTCCTTTTCATCTGATTTAGAAAAAGTAACCTTTGGGTAAACTTTAATATTTAAAAATAATACAAAAATTGAAAAAATAGAATAAAACATTTCACTGATAATCATTTTTTTAATTTGATTGTCATTTATAAATACCGACACTTAACTCACAACTACTCGTTGTCGAAACCCAAAATTAGTTTAATCTTGACGATTTGTGTATTACAGTTTTATGCAGTTTAAGGGAAATCGGCTGGTTGATTTCGTGAAATAACCTTTTTTTAGTTGTAAATTCTGTAAAGAACGTTCAGCTACAAAATTGCCTCAGAACGACCCCTAGTGGCTATCACTACACATTACCAAACAGACAGAAATTTTCAGTAAGTCTAGGTTAAAATAAATCATAATTTTATAAAGACATGTCACGTTGTGTCAGTAAATTTAATAAATCATGTATTCTATCTAATATTTTAATTATTTTCTTACTGGTATAATTATAACAATTATAACAGTAATATATAAATTTAAGATAATACAAATTACTATTGTTTCACCATAAAATCTTACAAATTACAATAAATTATTCAACATGTAAATGATGTGTATCTATTAATATATATTTGGTTTTTCTTTTGACCCGCTGCTAAATGTAAACAAATGCAGTGAGGTGCAATTTCCCGACTAAATGACCATGGAACAGACTGGTTTGTGTAGTTATTACTTAAGAACGTTTTCCTCAGGATTAAGGAAAACATGTTTGCCCTCTTTTTTAATGCATGGGAAGCCGTAATTTTAAACTAATGTGAACGGCTCTGACTGCATGTTTTAAATTATAAACTGAAAAGCAGGAATTGTGTCATGTGTTTGGCCAGAAAAAAGTGTCAATGTGGCCCTCCAAGGAGCTGGAGGTGGACGCAATGGCCCTCTGCTCATTTAGGTTTAAGACCCCTGATGTAAAAACACTTGAGGTAGTTAATCTGTAGCAGCATGAGGGGGACGGTGACATCATACGGCTGTCAGCTGTTAGGCCACGTATAAACAGAAATGACGTGATGAAGTGTTGAAGTAACAAACTTGAACTGCTAACCAGTGGAGTTTCTCCTTGTTCTGCGTCTAACTCTGGCTCAACATAAATGGTCGGACCAAAGCCTGTCGTCCTGCAGCCATGGCACCGACACCTGTCATTGAGAACAAGGCTGTTAAAGAGGCAGGTGAAGAATCCAAATGTTTTTTCAACCAAAGCATTTCACTTACATTTCACTCAGACATCAAGGGACTGTATTCATTTGGATGAAAATACCAAATGTCCTCCTTAAGCAGGTGTGAACGAATGTCGACTTCATCAATAAACACAAGGACACATCGTCAGTCATATTGATTTAATTTTGGCTTCCGTGTTCGTCACTTGGGGATTTTTATTTGTTTTTTTGCATTCAGTATGAGGCTTAATAACAACATTGTCCAGTGTTAAAAAAAGATTTAGATTTAGAGCTTAACGGTGACAGAATATCAGCAGTTACACTTTTAGCTGCAGTGAATAACTTTTGGATGGTCTTGATATTACCTGTTCTCATATGATTAATGGGAAAAGATCAGTTCTCAGCAGCTTATTCATGTATTAACTTTGGATTAGTTCAACAGTAAACATTAGAACAGTGTCATCAGAATCATTAGAACAGAGATTGGGTTCTGTGAAAAAATCTCCATAAAATTGGTCTGAAAACTATTATTCATCTACAGCAAATATTAAGTGACAGGCAGAATAATTACTCTTTCACTAGATGGCAGCAGATGGTTATAAAAACTTGAAAAAGAACAAGATACTCAGAGATGTTGAAGGGGATGTTTGTGTCTTTCTTAAACTTCTGCATCAGTGTTGTGTTCAACTAAACAGCTGCATCAGTGCTGTGTTCAACTAAACAGACCCAGATTTAAGTAAGTAAATTGTAATTAAAGTGAAACTAGATTATTATTATATTTCATTAATATATACCTTAAGGGACATTTTTTGCTGGTGCACCATGGGATTTTTCTAATGTAAAATACGTCTCTTACTGAGAAGTACCAGCGATATATTTTTTTATAAATCCACGAAACAAACCACCCATTTATGTCAGTAAAGTCTGTGTTTGTATTATTATATTTCAGCAAATGGGAAACATTTTTTTAAATCAATGTTTTGTTTTCAAACCAGTTCTTTTAAAATGTTTGTGGTCATTTTACTTTATTTATCTATTTTTGCTGTTGGGCTGCCTCCTGATCACAGTCTCTACATTCAATTTTACAACCTTTGCAAAAAATGATAATGATGTAAAGGAACACAAATGATCAACAGATCATTAAACTGGGAATTAGGGGCAGAATTGTTGGTTGGATTTGGACGACTTGTTTTTATATTTAAAAGTTATGCACTGCAGCTGGAGAGAATCTTGTGATAAAGAATCATATTGTGATTCTCCTCCAGGGCTCACGGCTGACACCATCAGCGCACATGCTTTGTTAAATGTTGAATAGCTTGAAACTGGAGTCCAATCTGAAAAATGGAGCAGATCTACTGGATAAAAACTTCTACAAATCTGTGACTTTGATAAGGTCTGTGCACTCCTTGTGTTCCGCGTCTCTCTGTGTGGGAAAAAAAAATCTTTAAAAATAAAAACAAACCATCTTTGATGCATTCATCTGTCTGGGAGAAACACAGAAACAGAAATTAGTGCAAAGTCATCTCCAGGGAAACCATGCACAGCTGACCAGCGCTGGTATGGGTCCATAAATTAACAATAAAAATAAACAAATAAAAAGTAAAAATAGGCAACAGAGTCTCTGGAGGTCTGTACGGGAGTTTACTGCAGCTCAGGGCAGGGTTGGGGCATCAAGACTGCCATCTGCTGGTTGGCACGCCAGACGGATCTTTTTATCACCATTTCATCAAAATAAGGTTCTTCCCCGTAGTCCTGCGTCTTCAGAGCCGACTAGATCAATGGCTAACACTCCATCCATCCTTCCAGCCTTGATTACAGATCCAGCACGGCTCCTTCCTTCTTTCACCACTCGCTCTGCTTTTCTCTCCCCCCTTCAGCAGTGTCAGAATTAGAGGGAGACACAAGGCACCCTGTTCTTCGCCCTCACATCAGGCTTCACTAAAAGGCCACAGACAGTGCATCTGAAGGTCATTTGCTCAGGGTCATCCCGTGCTCTCTGACCCTTCGATATTTAACCCCGGTTTTTGGATGCAAAGGTTATCTAACCTTAAGGAAGAGGTGGAGAGAGGAAGGGTAAGGAGTGGGAATCGCAGAGAAGAGGGAAAAGAAAAGGAAAAAGGTCATTTCATTTCATTTAGTTTAACATGAAAAAGCTAAAAATACGAGAATAAAAGAATAAAAACTCATGGCTGTATTTGTTCTTGGGTTTTGTTCATCAGTCTGAAATAAAATGGACCTTTAATGTGTTTACACAAACAAACCAACATTTTCATTAAATTTTAAGCATTTGTTGTTTTTAAGTTGGTTATATTGCCAGTGATGACGGATTTGGGAAAACTCAACGACATTATTTCCTTTTCGCTTTGTCATGAATATTTAAAAATGTTTTAAAACGTGCTTTATTGGCTAGAAAAGTGCTGTTTGGAGACCATACCGTACAGCCACACAGAGTTTAATGCTGCTGACCTTCTGCAGCTCCTCTCTCAGCCAGGAAGGCAGAGGCTGTCCGAGCCGGTGCAGCAGCTTTGACAGCTCCACATTGTGCTCCCTGTAGTATCTGGAGAGGTATGCACGTGCCTGAGGAGAGGAGAAAATGAAGAAGAGAACACAGTCTTCAGTGCAAAAGGACAAGGACATGCCGGACGACAGCAGAGCAGGAATAGAGCCTGAGCAGAGAGGCAGAAGTGAATAGAGTGGTAAAACATTTGGAAGGTGAAAATGTGAATGAGAGCAGTGGACACCAGGGGCCGACCAGAAACAGAAGGAGATTAATGACATGTCACCTTTTTTAGATTTGCCTATTTCTCAATAGTGACCTGGGGGCCACTAAACACAGTGATATTAGAAGATGTAAAAAGAAAGCTCTAGAGCATCTCTATAATCTCCTCTGTCCCCTTCTCGCTTTTTCTACTTCCCTAAGACATTCTTAGACATTCTTATATACTGTATATATATATAAAGAGGGCTATATATATTAGTATCAAATACAGTTCTATCAACTATGTGTCAACAATAGCTGATTGTTTTTTTACTGTTTTTGTTTTTACTGGATGGCTCAACACAACTTCTTCTTCATGTACGATACAATATCGTTATGGAAACAAGTTTCTGCCGACACCGATATCAATTAGATTACTTCTCTTCTCCATGGCGTGAGCTGCCGTTGCTAAGGTGAAGTAAGATAGTGTTCCTGTTTACTGCATGTGGCACAAAGTTAAGTTGAAAATTCACAGTTCTACGGTTGTGTCCGATCGAGCCGTTCGTAGTTTCTACCCTAATGGTCAAATGTTGATACATCTCTAATTCATTACACCAGTGTATTGTTACCACTGAGTCCTCATGACCAGGTCAGATCGGACACGTCACCGTCAGTCAGGTCAGGTGGTTTGGTTTTGTTTTGTCAGTTCATTTTCAAATCCAAAAATTGATATCAATTTCCCTTGTGGCACAAACTATTTAATTTTAAAGTTGACAGCTTCACCTCTGGCTCCATACTAACTAAAACTATTTAAGTTGACAGCTTCACCTCTGGCTCCATTGGTGGGTACTTCCTGCCTTTGCTCTTCCCCAAACATTTGGTCTTTCCTCCCTCCAGGAGCTGGCACCAAAACCCTTTCTGGGGGTCGAACCTGGCAGAACAAAAGAAACAGGTGCAGACTGAGAAAGAGACAAACACCAGAAGCTGAAGTTATTAATTCATTTGTTAATTGAGGGTTGGAGAAACCCAGAGGTCAATCATGTGGTTCTTGACCTGGACGGACTAAAGAGAGTGAAGTGGCATGTAGCAGACCACACCAGAGGGAAAGTCACAGCCCATTCAGCAGCCTCTCTGTCTTCATCTGACTCTACTGCTCTTTAATATCTACAGCGTCTTCATTCATCTCACTTTGTCTCCCTCTATCATCCTCACTCTTCTTACTCTTCTTTGTGCAGCCGCTGTCTCTCTCCTTAACCATTCTTTCAGCAGAGTTTCCCAACTACTGGTCTGCAGACCAGTGTCAGGTCAATGTTAATTATAATAATTGTAAAAAGCGAGGTTTCTTTTCCTATAAATTTATTTTGACTACTAAGAAAAAGGCTCAGTTTTATCTGTCAGTGCTCCAGGTATCAACCTCTGGTTCATGTTTTTCATTTCCTTCTTTAAAAAAAACAAAAAGACATTCAGACTCTTGTTTGTTTAAATACCAATTCTCTGCTGAAAATGTGGAACAGACCTAGGGTTGTTTTTTAATGGTAATATCATGTTGGTATCTGAAGAGTGTGTTTTCAACCTTTTTAAGTGCCATATGCATATTTACCATATATTTCTCATGTAAATAGTTTTATATTTTATAATATTCTTTAAACTAAATACTGTACGAGCTGTTTCCATAGTGTAGCAGTTAGCATGGCTGCCTTGGAAGCAGAGAGTCTTGGGTTCAATTCCCAGAGGAACCACATGCTTGTCGCCTGCCAGGGGCAGCAGATCTGCTGTAAACACGATGTAAAGAACTTCCCAAATATGGAATCAATAAAGATCAAATTATTATTATTATTATTATAACTAGGAGTCTATGGAGTCTATCTTGTATACTTTAAATGTTATATTGGCAGTTCTAAGGGCTCAAGTACAAGAAATGACCAGTAGGTGTCAGGCTTCACAGAGACTTAGGAGGTCGTTACTGCCTGGACTTGGGCTGTCATTTTTATATTAGTGAACATGAGCTGAGAGAGGTGTTTTACCCCTGCACCCCGGGGAGGAGGGAAGACAGCGGAGACTCAGCTACAGTACGGCGCTGTGTGTGTGTGTGTGTGGGTGTGTGAGTGAGAGAGAGCGAGCGAGAGAGAGAGAGACGTCAGAGCCTGGGAGTAGTTGAAATGCGGAGTCACTCCCAGGAACTTTTGAACTTCATCCATCACTGCTGCTGGGTCACTTCTCAGCTGATGGCCATCTATGATCATCACCTGTGCACAGAAACATCAAACTGCTCACTGCATCATCACAGTCAACTTTAAAAACATCCACAAAAGATGACCAAAGAAAAAGCCAACAGCAGACATATTTATTATTATTGTATTATTATATATTGCTATGTATTATTATATTTTTATTATTTGCGGCACAGCACAGGGAAATGTGACCACATGTAGTCCTTGTTATTATACCATTTAAATTGAAATACATGTTTATTTAAAGTATATATGACAGTACTACAGGTTATATATATATATATAATATATATATATTTGTTTAAAGTACAAATCAACATTTTAAATGCCCTATGTTTTCACATGATTAGTCTTCATAATGTGTTACAGACGTTTCTTTATGTTGAACACGATTATTTTCATGCCACTAAAAACACACGTTTGTTACTCTGTCCTTTCACCATTTACCTACAGATGCTTTTTAATTAAAAAACTGTCTTGGTTTTTATTACATTTTTCTTTCTTGAGTAGTGAGTACATCTGTGTATGCGTGCTTTGAAATACCTGGTTAGCAGGG